CCCCCTGCCCCAATCCTTCCTCACCCAGGTCTTGCACACGCTGGGGTGGTGGGACTGTGCAACCTGATGGTCTTTGGTTGGTCTCTTCTCCCATCCCTGGGCAGAGATGCCCCAGCAGTAGGGGCTGGGTAGGATGAATGGCCACCCCACCACGGGCAGGGCCTCCCCGTGCCCACCAGGATGCCCTGGGAGCTGGGGTGGAGGACGGCTGTCACACAGGGAAGGGGACAACCCCATGCTCACTTCCCCAGGGGAGCGTGCGGGGCAGGGAATGGCAGGCAGAGATGGCACAGGGGAAGCACCGGTGGGCTGCCCGGCTGCTTGTTCCCCCCCCCCGTGTGGCGATGCTGAACCATCTGCAGGAGGAGGAAATGCTATAAAAAGGCCGGGGGGTTCAGAGGGGACGTCCTGGCAGGAAGCAGCTTGAGCGGTGATCGCCGGGGCTCAATAGGCTTTTCCTGCCTTACAGCAAATCTCCCAGCTGCTCTCCCTGCTGCACCAGGGCCAGTTCCAGCCCAAAACAAACCACAGGGGAAACAAGTACACGGCCAAGAATGGCAGCAGGTAAGGCTGGCTCTCAGCCCTTCCCTTCCCCACGCCCCATTCCCCCGCGTCTCTGCTGCCTCTGCTTCAGCCCCACTGGCCCCAAGAGCCTCCAAGGGCAGGAGACACCAGGGCAGCAGACACACAAGGCAAAACCTCGTCCCCGGTTTTGCTGACCTGAGATTGGGGAGGTAGGTCCTCCCTTCAGGGGATGGCTGTGCTCCTCTGGTCCTGGCTCCCCGTTGGTATCCAGCGCCCTCGTAGAACTGCTCTTTGCCTCCTTCCTGGGGCACCTTTGGCAGCTCCTTCCATACCCACCTGAGCTCCCCTGCAGCCATGAACCATCCGCCTGTCCTTCCTGGGGGAGCACCGATGCGTTCAAGTGCGATGGGAAGGTGCACCGATGAGCACAGAGCGTCCCAGCTTTGCAGGCAGCAGCACAAGGACGAGCTTTCTCGCGGCTCTGGGTACTTTCTTAGAGATGCTGTTGATGTGAGTTCAGGGCATCTGTCCCTGGGCCAGGAGGCTAGCGAGGGAGAGACCCTGCTAGCAGGGATGGGAAGGACTGAGATACCCCAGCTGTGTGCTGAAGATGTTTCCAGAGACAAATTTTATGGCATTACCTTTAAATTATGGTGTTGACATATGGGGTCAATGCTCCCAAGGACGCCAGGGCTTCATCGCTGCCTCGCCATGTCCCCCCCGGTCCTGCCCAGGCCATGGGCAGACACAGCTTTCTCCACCTTTCTTGTCATCATCTCCATCTGCTGAGGATGGAGAGGAAGGGAGAGCCGCTCTGGGGCTGCTGGGGCAGGGCTAGGCTGCGGTGCTCCTCGCCCGGTCCTGCACATGGGCAGCTCCTCCAAATACACAGGGAAGAGCACGCAGCTCCCTGTTTGCTCAGGATCTCCTTGCTGCAGGATAAAAACCCTCTCAGGCAAGAAATGTAGAGCAGCCCCACATGTAGCCCAGCACCCAGCTGGGGCCCAGTTTTCAGAGGGTCCATGGCACTCCTGATCCCAGTGCGCTTGGGTGTTTTTTTTTTTTTATAAAAACCAAAACAGCAAACCCATAACTCATTAATTGATGGGGACTGAAATGATTATGCCTTCGGTACTGTGAACGATGGACTGAGAGGATGCCCACGCCCCACCTCTGGGTCATTTTATGGGGGATAAAGACAACCCCCTTTAAAGTAATTGGTGGGGCAGGATCGTGCTGTGGGTTGAAGTACTGTTTGAGTGTCTTGGCCCCCTCGCAGGGCTGCGGGGCTGGATGCGGACTGCCTGAGCACAAAGGACAGTGGGCACGGCGAGAGTGAGGCGGAGGACCGTGATTCAGAGAGCGGGTTTGAGCTCTCCGTGCAGCAGCTGGTGGGAGAGGAGCTGGAAACCCTCCTGGAGCCGCAGGCAGGTGAGGTGGCCTCGCTACTGGGACCATGCTGGGGCTGGTGGGGGGCTCCAGCAGCGGGATCGCCTCAAATAACACACTAACCCCATTCAGAAGCTAAAACTGGCTGGCCTGTGGCAAGCCAGGGGACATCTCATAGCCTAGGGTGGCTCTGACAGTGGCAGATGCTTGGGACAGCAGGTATGGGACCATCCTATGCTGTTGGTACCAGGCAGTTCACAGCAAAGGGACTTACTGAGCTTCACATTGGATTTTTTTCATGTTTAACAACTCTTGGTAGATCTTTCCCCCCATAGATGTGTCGTCTGTTGTTGAGATGATTTGTGAGGTTGGCCTCTGTAGGGGTGAAGTCCAGTTTAACTACGCACCCTGCGAACACTCTGCCTCCCATGCTGAGCTGGGCCCCTTCATTTCACGGTCTAGTCCATGCAGAGTGAGGGAGGTGAAGCGTTGGCCTTGTCGAGCCCCTCATGATGTTACAGACCCCTTGAGCCCCATCAGGCACCTATTTCCTACCAGGCTGAACTCGTCCAGTCTTGTCTCCTGTGACCAACCTGTTACTACTTTTAGTGTATCTTTATAGAGATGCGGTGACCAGAATTGTGCGCAGTGTTTAGGGTACATCTGCGCTGGTGGTATAAGGAGGTCTTCTGGTTTGTTCTTCATTCCTCTCCTGCCCAAGCTCCATGCTGAGCTCTGTTACCAGACTGTTCATGGTGACTCCCAAATCCCTCCTCTGTGTGGTGGGAGAGTCATCAATACATGACGTGTCGTTCCCCGTGACAATTATCCAACGGTTGGTGACAAAGAAATCCACCAGCCACTTTTTGCTCACGGCACTCTATTACTAGGTCCTTCGGCAACCCCCTGCTTTTATGTCGTTGGGTGTTTTAGTGGAGTCAACACCAATGCCATCCACTTCTCCACGTCATTTATCACGATGTTGAACGGATACTCTGGGACTCCACTAATGACCTCCTTTTGTGGGGAAGGTTATTTATTCCTACCCTCGCTTCCCAGCTTTTAACAGACATTGGTCCCCAACAGAACCTGGCTGTTAATTCAGGGACAGCTCAGGTCCCCTGTGAGCCTGGCTGGTGCTCTTCTGCAAGCTCAGGTGTCCTCTGTCAACCAGGACTCTTCATCCACCTCTTCCAAAGACGCCAACAAATTTGCAAAACGCAATTCCCTGCCTTGCAAATGTCACGTCAATTCTTGTCTGAATAGCAGGTACTTGGCTATCTGCTGTTTTGCATATAAAGATTTCTATGAATTTGCCTGCACTAGATTCACCTTCATGTGCTTAAAAACTCATGTCACAATTTCTACCTTCCCTTCCTCTGATACCGTATTCATTTGAAGCAGTAGTTAATGAACAGCAGTTAATAAACCAAGCAATTTCATATCTGAGTTCCTCTAGCACTCCAGGGTGAATACCATCTGGGCCATTTTCTACATGTTCTTTTTATTGATTTGCTCTAAAAATCTCTTCTACTGGCATTTCAATTTGAAAGAGTTGGGCTGACTCACGTCCTGTAGCAGAAATTTCATTGTGGAGCCTCTGCGCTCCTCCACAGCAAGAGGAACTCATTGAGGTTTGCTGCTGTAGTCATTTTAATTCCAGAGTTGGGCATTTTCTGTGCTCTTGCTTAGAGAGAGAACCACGCTGCTTCTCTCTGTTTGCCTTCCTGCCCTTTTATTTTAGTAAGGAGCAAATGAAGAAAAAGCTGAGTGAAACGGGAGCTGCAAGCTTCCTCAGATTTAAAGGTCCTGCAGCTGAGAGCAGGGAGCAAAGAGGCTGCCCAGCTCCATCCCACGGGTGTACTGACATGCACCGGTCCCAGTAAAGGGACTGGTGGACCTGCTCAGCAGATCCAGTCCTGCCCAGACAGGTAGCACCCTAGAAAATCTGTGCTACGGCAAGGCATATCCATGAAGCGCCATCTCCCATGCTTCTTGGATTTGAGAGGGAAAAAAAACCCAAAACCCTTTTGCCAAATTACTGGACTTTCACAGTGAACGCCAGCGGTGCACGCTGAGGCTGTGCCAGCGTGGCTTCCTGCCTGTGCAGGAGTGCTGGACGTGACAAAAGAGGCTGCCTTGTTTCAGTGGTGAAAAACAACCTTAACCGTGAGCCCAGACCTTCCCAAAAAGGCAACGGAGCACAGACGACGGGAGCCGCTGGACTCCTTCCTCCTCTCCCAAACACAAACAGAGAAGTGGACTTGCATCCTGAGAGAGGGAGGAAGGAAGCATTGCTTGTGCTCGGGGGTATCGTAACAGCTGGCTGAGGCTGTCTGGGCCTTTGTGCTATTCGCAGCGGGGGGGAACTGCGCGAGTAATCTGTCCCAGCCAGCTATCTGGTTGTTTATGCTGTAAGCATCGAGCTGCAGGCTGAACTCTCGGCGCCGTCTATTAACACCTATCCCCCACCAGTGAAACAGAGCGCTCGCAGCAGCAGATGAGAGATATAACTTTATTGATTATAAAAACAACCCCTGCTCCCAAACCACCATTAAAATAAGGCAGTAAAGACTTATCGGTCAAATTAAACATACCTAATTATAAGGTTTCACGATCACAGGACTGTCAGCCCACTGAGTCTTGGCTCTCCCTGCAGCGAGCAGACTACTGTTGTGTCCTGCTCCAGAGCTGAAGCATCAAAGTATTCAGGGAATGCAGTGGCTTCTTGCAGACTGAGGAGGAGAGAACTGTGGCTGTTTTAGAGCAAAAACATGGGACTTCAGCAGGCTTGGGAGATCTCTTAAGGAACAGTCACTGCCACTGAAAGAAAATACTGAGGTTGCAGAAAGAAATCCTGGAAGTTAAGCAACAAGAGAATTTTGGGGCTTCAGCTGAAACAAAAATCTAAGCGATGTATCTGCCCTTCTCTCCTTACTGGGTTTGAATCCCAGCCCTCACCCCCATCCCACCCCAGGACACAGTTGTTTTTCAGAGGAAAAGGACTAATTAGTTGGCTGAGGAAGGAGACTTGTCTCAGTGACTGACTAGCCACTGACTGAGGACCACGTGTCCCAGGCGTGGCAGGGTATTATCTTCTGGAAGCGGCATGATAAGTGCATTAGAGTGGGGACCCTCCTTTCAGAGGTCGCTTTGTAAGTCAGAGCCACGTAATTATTACAGTGACACCAGCCCTTGCCATCTGACTGGGATTGCCGTGTTTTGTTACCAGACACCAGTTATTTGTTTTGCTGCTCTCTGGCTCAAAGTGTTTCACAAAGCTGGCGGTCGCTTCGAACCTCCCAGTGGTTCTCGGTTACCCTTTGGAAATGAAGCAATGCGGGGCTGGAAGGCAGCCTCTGTGCACCACATCACAGAGTCTTGTTTACCAACTGCGAAGCTCTACCTTAAAAAACAAGAACCTCCGTTTCCTTTTCTGCCGCCTGATGAGGAAGCTATTCCAGGCTCACCCTGCTATGGGGTCCTTCCTTTAATTTCCAGTATACGTTTATTCATGGACAGTTATAATCACTTCTTCTTTTGCCAACACTATTTTAAGCATAAAGATTTCCTTTGTCGGTGCTTATCTCATCAAAATAACGACAGGTTGCAGCCAGATCCCTGGTGAGCATTTGCTTCCTTAGGCTAAGCAACCCCTGCCTCTTGGGGTCTCCATCACATAAGCCTGGACTCGCTCCTGTTTTCATCTCAATAGTCTTCTCTGCACTTCTGTCATTTCAGATCCTCTTTCCTACGGATGGATAATCAGATTTGTATGTAATACTCCTAATCGGGTCTCGCCAGACCTAGTAACAATACCACGGATATGTCCTCATGCCAACAGGGAATACCTTGACCAACACATTGTACGATTCCATTTGCCCAGTTCAGGGCAGAATCACGTTACTGGTACACTAACGAGCCAGCAGCCAACACCCACACCAGGCTCCCACTGCTCATCTGTTTCCAATTGATGAACAACTACTTTATAGCTCAATTTTTTGTTACCAGTCTTCAACCATCCAGCTGTGCATTTTATAATCCAGAATTTCATTCTACTTCTGTTATTATTGTTTTCACAATAACCCATTCCTTTTCGGTCTCAATATGCCTGCTTAGCAACAAATTCCCACCCTAGAGTGACCCTTACGGGAAGTCCACTAGTGACCTTTCTGTCCGATACTTCCCCCTTGAAAGCTTTCCATTGTCATCTCCCCTTTAGCCAGTCCTAAACCCTCACTTTCTCTGGCTTTGCTAACAATTTAGTGAAGTGCCACTTGAGGCTGCAACAAATGAGAAAGCAAAGTGATCCTAAGGGTTATTATATTAAAAAAACAAACAAACAAAAACCCCAGTAGTTTTAAAGCAGTTCTAGTTTGGTTTTTATAAGCTGCTGGTTTAAACGATGCTGCTGGTAGCTTCTCCCTAGACCCGTTTACAATCAGTCCTCTCACAGTTGATTTCAGGAAGTCTCATTTAGCAATATTTTTTTTCCCTTTCTTCCCCCCTCCCCTCTTCTCTCCTGTGGTCTCCTCTACTCCACGTCTCACCAACAGTTCTCGTTTTCACTCCCTCCAGAGCTGGCCCTCAAGAGGCTGACGGCTGCTGACCCAGCATGGGTGGCTCGGCTCTCCTTGCCGCTCACCAGTAGTTACAAGGACAACATCTTCTCCCCTGACTCTCTGCATTCACCTCAGGATGAGGAAGCTGCAAGGCAGGAGAAACCAAGGACCTTTGAGACCTTCGGCAAAGGTGCTGGGGCTGACTCGAACGCCGCCGGGACAAGACTGGCCAGCACTTTCCTTTCAGAAATGAGCACCCTCTTTGAAATGATTTTGTCCCAGAAAGTCCAAGTCCACAATGAAACAGGCTCGGGGCTTCTGCGGCAGCTGTCGGCACGTGGGAAGAGCTTCGGACTGGAAGACAGTGCTCCTGTTCTGTAGGCAGCTTGGCGGCTGTGATAAGGAGATAAAGAGTCAGAGCGAGCTGCTTTCCGCATTTGGGGTGCACACGTGTGCTTTAACAGGGTCATTGTATCATCCACACCTAGACTGATCACGGCAGGCACATTTCTTCCTTTGCCTCACCCCATCGAATTTCTCCATGACTGACTTCACCTTGTTTAGTTCCCTCCTACCCGCCTGTTCTTGCCTTCCTAGCTTTCCTCCTCTTCCACCCTCATCTTTCACCTTACCATCACACTCGAGTCACCCAACAGCAGGAGGGCCCTTTCCTCCCAGGGCAGGCCGATTGAGGGGAGGGGTTGTTAGGTTAACCACAAGCACAACGCAGTCAGCTACACCTACATGATTATAGACTGTACACCACAGACGATAAAATATTGCGGTCATGGACTCTGCAACATGCTGCAGAGTTGGGCTCCAGGATCTTAGTTCTTATTTAAATAAAACTGGTTTTTTCTAACACTACCATCTCTGGAACAAGGTGCACTATAGGTGACATAATGATGTATCTGCAGAAAGCCTGAAATGGCAACTCAGAAAGGGAGATCTGCCTGTCATCTCCCATTGATCCTTTCAGCTTTTGTGGTTCTACCACTGTGAACTTGGCATTTTGTAAAATGCCCCAAAATCAGCACTTCTGCCCTGGCATCTCTGCTATAGCTGCACTAGGTGCCCACGATTCCCTTCTCCATGCTCCCTTTTGAGGCCATTGGATTTTGGAGCGTAGTCTTTGCCCAGAAGCAGACAACAGATGGCTGGAGTCTGCCAAAGGTAACCTGGGAAAAAGGAAGTGTGAAAACACTGTTTTGAAATATTCAGTCACAAGCTTCAACCACATTACAGGTTTTCACTTTGATCTGTATGTATGTGAGCTACAAGACAGTTTTAGGATAATAGCACGTGTAGGAAAACTAAGATACAGATACTAGTAACAGAGGAAGAAGCTCAGAGGTGTTGTTAGCCATGGGGACGTGCACTTGCAGAGAATGGAAAGACAACAGTGGCATAAGCATCTGGAGTGCATTTGTAGGCTTAGGCAGCAGTGCACGGATGGCAGGTAAGCGCTTCGGGATTGTGCACACATAAGGCTCTTCTGTACCACAGTTTGTGCCTTCCAACTATGATAGAAAACACCAGAACAAATTTGGGGCATGCTGGCAAAGCGGCTGTATAGGTGAGAAGAGAGTCATAGAATCACAGAATAGTTTGGGTTGGAAGGGACCTCTAAAGGTCATCTAGTCCAACCCCCTGCCGTGGGCAGGGACATCTTCAACTAGATCAGGTTGCTCAGAGCCCCGTCCAACCTGACCTGGAATGTTTCCAGGGATGGGGCATCCACCACCTCTCTGGGCAACCTGGGCCAGTGCTTCACCACCCTCAGCGTAAAAAATTTCTTCCTTATATCTAGTCTAAATCTACCCTCTTTTAGTTTAAAGCCATTCCCCCTTGTCCTGTCACAACAGGCCCTGCTAAAAAGTTTGCCTCCATCTTTTTTATAAGCCCCCTTTAAGTACTGACAGGCTGCAATAAGGTCTCCCCGGAGCCTTCTCTTCTCCAGGCTGAACAACCCCAACTCTCTCAGCATTTCTTCATAGGAGAGGTGTTCCAGCCCCCTGATCATTGTCGTGGGCCTGGCTATAGCCCACGGTATGGGAATGAAGATAAAGGATCGCCTCCACTGCTAGCAATGCACAACATCGTTGCTTGCTCAGAGACTGCAAAAGCGAGGCTGAGAAGAGACCGCCAGCCTTCCCTCCATGGGAGTGCAGGGCCAGCGCTGCTTTATACACACTGCTTTCTTTCCTTCGCCATCGTCACGTTAAACATGCTGAGCTGACTTCTCCATAGATACCGCAGTTCACAACACAAGTTTCCCCAAAGCTAATTTGCTCATGGTGGGGCTGTCGCATCAGGTGTCTTTGGGTGATATTTTTGGCTTTCATTTTACTGTTAAGTTGAAAAAGAACAGGCAGCAAGCCCCAGCAGACATGATTCTGGAGCATCTCAAGGGTGTCTTACCTGTGTTCCTTTTCCATGCGCCTAGAGGTGACAGTGCCCTGCTTTTAGCATGTACACATGCAAGCCACAGCAGCAGACAATCATACAGATAATTTAAAGCAGAGTAAATGAGAAAGTTACCCCTTTCTGCTGCTCTTGGGACCAAATGGCAACAGCAACAGAGTAAGATTTCCCCAGGTAGACTCTTTAATATCCAAAATATCCACTGTTGTATTTGGAGTCTCCAAAGTGCTTTACAGATGACCCCACTACGCTGATGGGTTTGCCCCAGCCTGCTAATACTGCCGTGCTGCTAATAGAAATGTCTCACTGTTTTGTTTCACAAACAAAACAGGCTGTTGCACCAAAACAATGACAGCGAGCCAAATTCTAACTGAGATGCAGCTGTGCAAACCACGAGGGAGGCATTTCTGTGACTGTGAGGAGATGCAGCCCTACGGGATTCCGCACACAGGGGACAAACACACAGCACCTCACATCTTCCTCTGGAAAGTTACTTTGATGTGCCTGTCAAAGGACAAACTTTACACAAAAATACATTATAATAAGACGACTAAAAAGGAGACAAATTCCTCTCTTGGTTCAATTTCCTGATTCTGCAAACTGCTTTCAACCCCCCCAACCCTTACCCCCATCCTGTCCTGACCACTGCGTAAGCACGCTGTGGATTATCACAGAATAGGAAATCCACCCGAGGAATTTCCTGCTAATTGTATCCTGCTTGATAAAGGAAATGGTCTAAGAAAGTTTGGTCCGAGCAGAAAGAGAGACCAGACTAGAAGAACAATCAGATGTGTTGAGCTCTGGCTGTGCCCCTCCCTTGCTGAATGGAGACCACAGCAAGTTCAGGATGGGGCCATTGCCTTTGTTTTTCAGAGCCTGATCTACACAAATCACCAGAGCACCATGGCTACAGGAAGTTGGACAGTTTGTACAGATGCCCTTGAACCAGTTTAAACTGGTGTGGACAAACGTCTTTTTCCGGATTCAGCGGCCCCAGTTGAAGAAATTATCATACCAGCTGCTTGCCACCGTCTGCCTGACAGTGGTTACTGCCCGTTGGGAGCATCCCTTTTCCACTTCAGTGAAAATGAGCCGGCGTGCTTAGCAAACATGTGCAGTATAAATTTTGAAGAAAACCTTGCTCATCGTGACTCAAAGGGGTGTACCCCTGGGAGCAGCTTACTGCCACAGCTGAAGGAATAATAACTGGGGACCGAAGGGCACTGACAATGGCGCAGGATGGCTGAGGACAGCCATTACTTTCACCAGTACAGGTGGATCTGTAAGCCATATCCCACAAAAACCTGTGCCCTAATAATCAGAATTCACTCTCTTGCTTGCATGCAGATTAAACTGCCACAATGGCAATGTAGAGACAAGCCCAGATTGTGCTGGTAGCAGAACCACTGTGGGAACAGCTAGCCTTGAAGTGAGATCAAATTGCCTGAGAGGGCGCAGGCCAGGCCCATCACAGAGTTAACAGCCAACATCACCATATGGTGGCTGGTAAACCTCACTGGGGGACCGTGTGCAAGATGCGGAGGGCTGCTGGAATTATAGCCCCAAATCATAGCACGGTGGCATGGTGGGAGTCTATACGTAGCTCTATAGAGAAATGTAGGAGCATAACAAAGGTCCTTGTATTGGAAGGTAGAGGGCCAGACGACATGGTGGCATAGGAGATATCACAAGGTTTATTCTCAAAACCCTGGTATTTAAAAATGGCTCCTGTTCCATTAACAGCAAGCTTTCTCTTTCCACTCACTGCTAGCCTGCTTCCAGCCCCACGCAGACTAAGAAGGGCTGCCTTCCCTTCTGCCTCCTTGTTTCACTTACCAACTGCTCTAGTAACAGCAGTGGTGGGGCTCCAAGCACTGCAGTTCCAGTGGCGTTGCCCTGTTTCTGAGGGCACTGCTCCATCCTGCACTGCCAAGTGTCATCATGTGGAGTCTGTCTGCGCTCCAAGAATGGGGCAGGGTTAGGGCAGATTGTCTTGGCTGGGTGGTGTGGAGGCCTGCAGGCACATGCTCAATAGCCCAGAAACAGGGGCTAGATGAAGAGGCTCTTATTCCGGAAGGGAATGGATGCTTTGTTTGCACATCTGAAAGTACATTAAAACAAGATATTAATGATGCATCATACTATGGGAACAGCTTCTCCTCTTCAGCTCAACTGGAAATAGCTGGTAAGAAGTGGAAAAACTGAAAAGTAAAAGTGCTCCCTTCCCTTCAGTAAAAAGGACTCCTTTTTGCCATGGCCCTGTGCTACCCTTCCTTTGGCAATATGGGCCCTGCTTTTATGGGGTCACGACACGATGCAGTCCCGCACACCCTCTTCCCCCACTGCCCGCGGTACCTTCCACCTCCTCTTCTAACACTCGCAGTCTCTCCCGGGAGTTCCTGTTCCCTGCAGCAGCTGACTGTCGGTAGTGTCTCATCGCTTCTGCCAGGTTCTGCTGCACTCCAAGGCCCTTCTCATAGCAAACGCCCACGTGATACCTGCTTTGGGCATCCTAGCCACAGGAGAAAGCACAGCAATCGGCCCCACACGATGGAGAAGTGACAACAGCACACAAAAGGAGAACAGGGAGTCTTTAACACCTGCTTTAAAGTTTACTGCTCTATCTTTGGTCACCTTCTTTAAAGTTTATTCCTCTATCCCTTAGACCATATCTTCAGCAATTTAGTCCCTTCTCTGAGCACATAGTGAAGCAGAATTTCTTACCAGCTACCTCTGATTCCACTCATTCCTATCCCTTTCCAATTAAATTCACCGATTTCCCTTCAACATCCAGGTCTGTGTCATGGGAACAACGGAACAGCCGTCTCCGCAGAGTACGCTCAGGGGTCAGAGCTAAGAGGACTTGGGCAGCCTTGACTGCACCCACATCCTGATCACACCCAAACTCTGAGCACGCCCTTTGGACTGCCCTACTACAATTCACGCAGAAGTCTTGTAAAAAC